ACAGTGAAACCCTGTCTCTACTAAAAATACAAAAAATTAGCCGGGCATGGTGGCGCACGCCTATAGTCCCAGCTACTTGGGAGGCTGAGGTAGGAGAATCGCTTGAACCTGGGAGGCGGAGGTTGCAGTGAGCCGAGATCATGCCACTGCACTCCAGCCTGGGAGATGGCAAGACTCTGTTTCAAAAAAAAAAAAAAAAAAAGGACTGGGCACAGTGGTGCATGCTTGTAATCCTAGCATTTTGGGAGGATGAGGCAGGCAGATTGCTTGAGCTCAGGATTTCGAGACGAGCCTGGGCAACACGGTGAAACCTCATATCAAAAAGAAAAGAAAAAAATACAAAAATTAACCAGGCGTGGTGGTGTGAGCCTGTAGTTCCAGCTATTCGGAAGGTTGAGGTGGCTGCATTGCTTGAGCCCAGAAAGTGAAGGCTGCAGTGATATCACACCAATGAGCCAAGATCACACCAATGCACTCCAGCTTGGATGACACAGTGGGATCCTGTCTCGAAAGGAAAGGAAAGAGAGGAAAGAGAGAAAGAAAAGAAAAGAAAAGAAAACGCATGGTGGCTCATGACTCCCAGCACTTTGGGAGGCTGAGGTGGGAGGATCACTTGAGCCCAAGACTTCACAACCAGACTGGGCAACACAGTAAAGCCCCCGTCTCTAAAATATAATTTAAAAATTAGCTGAGTGTGGTGGCACATACCTGTAGTCCCAGCTACTTGGGGTGCTGAAGTAGGAAGATTGCTTGAGCTGGGGAAATCAAGGAGGCTGCAATGACCTGTGACTGCATCACCACACTCCAGCCTGGGTTACAGAGTGACCCTATCTCCAAAAGCAAAGAAAGAAGGAAAAAATAAAGGTAGGACAGAGTTAGGGGATTGAGGATGTCCTTTTTGGAAGGTTGTTCAGAAAAGGCTTGATGAAGAGGTGCCATATGAATCATCTCTTAGTCATTTTAGGCTTACCAATATATAGATTAAGAAATTGCCATTTGAAACCTAAATCTGTTCATAATCAGACAAGCATCTGTAGTTTATTGTGGCTGCAATTTAGAAGTGTGGGATGAAGAGAGGGAGGCATAAGCTATTAAGAGAGGTGAAAAGGCAAGAGTTGGTTTTAGAGTGTGAGGAAGAGAGAAGAATCATGATAGAAAGAAAGGTGGGCACATTCATTGAGAATGGGAAACCGTAAGGTTGAAGGCAAGTGGATGAAGATGAATTCAGTTTAGGGCATGTTGAGTTTGAGGTGCCTATGGGACATCCAAGTGAACAGGTGAGCAGGAAGTTGAAAATATATGTCTAGAGCAGACCTGTGCCTGAGATACACAGGTTTGAAATATGAAAGGTAATCAAAACCAAGAGAGGTCAGAGAGGGCACCTTTGTTGAGGGAAAAAATAGTCAATGACAGAACTACCAGAAAAACCAACACTTATAGGATTGACAGCAAACAGACAGAGACAGTGAAGGAAGCCTAAAACAGAATGACTAATCAGAACCATAGAGAATAGTCAGGGAGATGTGGGGTGTTGTGATTTCATAGTTCCCATCTGGTCAAGTAGTTGTTCCGTGGAGGCCTGTCACTTCCCTGTCTTTGGCGGTCTGACAAAGCCTTCATTCACTGAACAAATGTTTACTGCACCCATGCCATGTGTCACTTTTCTAGTGACACATGAATGAACAAAACAGTAAGCCCTGACTTTAGGGCACTTACATTCTAGTGTGGGGAACAGACAATAAACATTAAAAACAGGTTAAACAGCTGGGCTCAGTGGCTCACACCTGTAATCCCAGCACTTTGGGAGGCCAAGTCAGGTATCGCTTGAGCTCATGAGTTTGAGACCAGCCTGGGCAACATGGCAAAACCCCATCTCTACAAAAAATACAAAAATTAGCTGGGCATGGTGGTGCGGGCCTGTAGTCCTAGCTACTTCTGAGGCTGAGGTGGGAGGATGGCTTAAGCCCAGGAGGCAGAGGCTGCAGTGAGCCGAGATCATGTGACTGCACTCCAGCCTGGGTGAATGCACATTATAAGGTGATAAAAGCTACGGAAAAAAAAAAAAATAGTAAAGGGCATCAGGATGTAGAGAGGATATCTGAGCAACTTCCAGCAAGGAAGTCAGGTTAGGCCTCAGTGACAATTGAGTAAAAACTTTTAAGTTTGCCCAGGCCGGGCACGGTAGCTCACGCCTATAATCCCAGCACTTTGGGAGGCCAAGGCAGGCAGATCACGAGGTCAGGAGTTCTAGACCCACCTGGTTAACAGTGAAACCCCATCTCTACTAAAAATAAAAAAAGTAGCCAGACTTGGTGGCGGGTGTCTGTAATCCCAGCTCTCAACTCGGGAGACTGAGGCAGGAGAATTCCTTGAACCCGAGAGGCGGAGGTTGCAGTGAGCCGAGATCCTGCCACTGCACTCCAGCCTAGGCAGATACAGCAAGACTGCAGGGGGCGGTGGGGAGGACTTTAAGTTTGCCCAGTAGATATCCCGGAGTAGGTCAGCACGGTGGTTCACGCCTGTAATCCCAGCAGTTTGGAAGGCCAAGGCGGAAGGATCACTGAAGGTCGGGAGTTCGAGAGCAGCCTGGTCAACATGGAGAAACCCCACCTCTACTAAAAATACAATAATTAGCTGGGCGTGGTGGCACGCGCACCGATAGACACAGCTACTAGGGAGGCTGAAGCAGGAGAATCTCTTGAACCTGGGAGGCACAGGTTGTAGTGAGCCGAGATCGTGCCACTGGGCGACAAAGCGAGACTCGGTCTCAAAAAAAAAAAGATATCTAGAAGTAGAGCATTCTAGATTACATCAACGAAGAAATAACGTGCATCAGGTAGGATTTTGGCTTTTGTTCTAACAGAAAAGAGAGGCTGCTGGAGGGTTTTGAGAAAAGGGTCTGATGAAGGTTTTCTAACATAACTACCCTGCTGGCTACATTTAGAATAGATGCTGAGTGGCAAAGGTGGAAGCAGGAAGACCAGTAAGGGGGTCAGCGCAGTTCAGGGAAGACACGATGGTGCCTGGAACCACGAGGACAGCAGGGAGGGTTTCTTGATGGTTTGAAAGCCAAGGTAAAGGAAAGGAGTCAAGAGTAACACAGGCTTGCGTCCTACACCAAAGGAAAGCCACTGCGGTCTGCGGGAGCCAGGGAAGACCCTGGCAAGGGCAGGTCGTTTGTTTGTGTTTTTGGTGGAGGGCGAAGGAATCAGGATTTCAGCTTGGGCACGTGGGACGGTCAGGAGAGAAGTCTGAGCTGGAGATGCAAGGATGTCGCCAGCACACAGCTTGGTGTCTCCAGTCACGAGAGCAAACACATACATACTTTCAGGTGGGCTAAGTGCCGCGGAAAAAAAAAGAGAAAAGGAAGGCGTGAGTGTGTATGGGGGCGGGAACGATACAAAAGATGGCCGGAGGAGGCCTTTCTGAGAAAGGGACGCCTGCTTTCCGTCCAAGAAAGAGAAGCGAGAAGGGCGAGAAGCGCTTGCGGAAAAGCTGGCAGAGTGGGGCCGGGCGCGGTGGTTCAGGCCTTAAGTCCCTGCACTTTGGAAAGGCCAGGAGTTCGAGACCAACCTGGGCAACAGAGCGAGACCCCCGTCTCTGCTTTATTAGATAAAATAATTTTCAAAACAGTAAGAAAACCTAGCAGTGCACATCCAACCCGAGGCCCTCGCAGCCAGACCAGAGGCACCAGGGCGGCCAGGCGAGGCGCTGCGAGGAAGCTGGTGCTTCTCGGAGTCCGAGACCCTAGCCGGGGAGAGCCCCAGGCAGTGCCCGAGGACCACGGCTCTCTCGCGGGCGTCCTGCCCCGCGGCGTGGTTACGGGGCCGCCGAAACCGTAACTCATCTACTGGACACTTCCAGCTTCCTCCAAAGGCCGAGCAAGCGGGGCTACAAGGCAGATTTCATGTCTGCTCCCAAGCTCGACCGCTTTACAGCCAATCCTCTCTCGTCTGGTAAACGCGTAAAATCCACACAATCACAACTTTCACAACGAAAGGGAGGGCGCAGGCCTCTCGTCGGCACACGGGCCGCCTCGCCCGCGTCACTCTGAGGTAACAGCCTTTCTCTTCAATCGCTGCATGCAACTCCGGCATGCCAGGCCTCTCCCACTACGGGTCGAAGGATGGCTCACGTCACATTGCGCGAACAAGGATGGTCACGCGCCACAAAAGGATTTGCAGGGCGGGGCGACTCGACGGCCCTCCCTTTTGTTCCCATTGGCTGCAGTCGTCAGGTTCGCCTCCTCCACTGCCTACCGGGGAGCCTAGGGCCTGACAGAAGCCCGCCCCCCTGGCGCTCGTGCGCACGCGTGGCGGGCTCTCGGCGCACTGAGCAGGCGCGGCCTCGTGTCGGCCGGAGGGGGCGGGTGCAACGGCGCGCGCTGCGTCCCGGCGCTCGGCTTTCCCTCCGCCGGTCCCGCCCTCCGTCGCGGCGGCGCGGTGTATCCTGGGATAGGGAGCGATCTCCGAGCGAGGCGGCAAGATGGACGCGGGATTTTTCCGCGTAAGTAGAGGCGCCGGGCGCTGGGGTGAGGCCAGGGGCTTCTCGGTAAGGCCTGGTAGGAGCCCTTAGCTTGGGACAGGGTGGCCAGCGAGGGGAGGCTTCAGAGATCCTAAGGATTCTTCCCAGTGCCGGCGCACACCGCCCCCCCCCCGCGCTGCGGCGGAGACCGGTGCGCCCCTGCGCAGTCTCCTCCTCCGGAATGGTCCCCTTTACGCGGCGGCGACGGTGGCCGGAAAATGGCGGCGGGAATGGGCCGGGATGGTACCTCGCTGCCCGCCTGCCTGGCGGGGCCTGCAGGCGGAGCGCCGTGCGTGCCGCCGGGTCCTGGGGCCTAGCGGAGCCGGAGGAGGAAGTCCCGAGTGGGAGGCCAAAGGGAAGCCCTGAGGTCACTGGCGGCAGCAGGGCTGGGAGAGTATGGTTTGGGGGTACATCTTGGGAGAGCAACTTAGGAGGAGGAGGACAGGAAGCAGCATTCAGCGGCTTTTTTTGAAAAAGCGCCCCCGCGCCGCTCCCAACGTTCTCCCTCCAGGTCCTAAGCCTTCGTGGATGGGCCAGGTCAGGGTTCGCGGGAGCTCCCGCCCAATTTGATATCCCTTCAGGGAGGGGGACGTAGATAACTTGTTGGGACAATGTGAATTTAAGGTTCTGTGAGGGTAGAGGGTGCAACGAAAACTATGCGCGGATATGGAGGCAGGTTATGGAGTGATTCAACTCCTTCCCGCCCTCCACATCGCTCACCACCCGCCACCGTCGTGTTTTTACTTTTGGAGTCCGCTGGCTAAAGGTGACTCTTAACTAGGCTCTGCCAGCGTCGTCTGCTCATCGCCTGCAGGCAGGGAAGTTACTCCGTCGTAGTTGGTTCTCGGGGCCCACACTTTATCAGGGTCGTGCTGGAGCCTGTGTGTCCCACATTCCCCTCCTGTAGGAAATAAGCACTAGGTCAAGATCTAGAAGGGACATGGGACTAGAGTTGAGCACCATGGGTCTCTCCGGGCTTGCAACCTGTTAATGCAGAATGAAACCATATAGAAACTAGTTGGTCTAAGCAAATATCTCCGTTTTCTGAAATACACGTTAGCTCTTTCTTCTCTTTAGAGCATGTAATTTACAGTTTGTGTGTTTTCAAAGGAAAAATTGGAAGAGGGGAAGGCCAGAACTTTAGTAAAAATAACTTTGGACACTCCGAATTGAACATTGAAATCCTTCTTTAATTGGCTTTAATAATACGCCAACGAGTTTTTCGTCATGGTAGAATATTATCCCCCAAGCATTTGTTCATGGTAGATTATCATCCCCCAAGCATGGTAGAATATTGTCCCCCAAGAACCAACTGTTCTTAGGCAAACAGTAAGATATTTATTTTGGAATGATAGTTTCAGATTAGCGTATCGAATTTGCAAACTGCTTATGAACTGTCCATTTTGTAATTTCCATCAAAGTATTTTGTAGTAAATATTCAGTATTTTCTGCAGTGCAAGAAGTAGTATTTTGAGACAAGTGAAAGTCTGTTCCGACTTTTGTCAAATATTTTCTGTGGAAAGGAGTTCCAATAAATAAAAGAGTAAGGTGATTGATGAGCAAATTTTAACATGAAGTTTGCTTGTGGTATTGTTAAAGTTCTGGGAGAGGGGCGAGTTTTTAATACACTGCCTACAATTCCTTAAATGCAAGAGTTAACTGGATTTAAGATCCAAGTTAAAACATTTTTAGGGTCATTATCTAGTACCCTGCCAACCAGATAAACTATTTCAGTTAGGATAGAAGTTACATCTTCCATTCAATGAACTTCCACATGCCAGATACTTTTCATATGTTATTTCCAGTATGTACACAGCAACCCTGCAAGGTAGATTTCCATACCTCTATTTTGGCAGGGAAGGAAACATCCTCAGAGAGGCTGGGTAACTTGGTGTAAGATCTTATGGCTAAGTAGTGGCAGAGTTTTTACCTTCTCAAACAAAATTTTTTTTGATCGCTTTCCAAAGGACTGTGGCCAACTCAGTGAACCAATCAGTACATTTCAGGTGGCACAGCCAGTTATTTCCGTGTTTAATTGGGCCAGTAGGAGTGATAAAATGAAAAGAGTAATTAGTGATCACTTGATGATCTAAGGTAGTATTTGTAAGCTTTCATTTTTCCAGGTTCTTTGCTGAAATTGAATTTATTTAGGTAACCCTATCTTTTTCACTCATTCCAAGTTCCTAAAAGTTGCAGAAGACTAACACAACACAGTGCTGGGGTGTTCTTTTTTCCTTTTACCCTGTTTCTATGCATTGCCACAGTAGTTCGGCAAGCATGCAACTGGCTTTCAAAAAAGAATGAAATTTCAAATACTTCAGTGTGTTCTCATTTAAACAGAAAAGCCCTGCATATCTATTAGCATAGGAAAAAGTGTGAAAGGATACAAATCAAGTCTAGCATTGGATATGAGGAGGTGTTTGTTGGCACTATGCTGTATACTGCCGTTTTAGGTTTGACTTATGATGAACATATACTTTAAAAATCCAGTCAAGTTTTCAAAGTGTCAGCTGCATTGGGGAAAGGGTATGCTATGAAAACTGGTTTTGTATTGTGTTTACTTGGTGACCCTATTTTGGCTATAAAGGTCATAGGTGATAAAAAGTAAGGATTTAACTTTGAACCCTTAATTAAGATGTGGTTCTCTTCCTGCAGGGAACAAGTGCAGAACAGGATAATCGGTTCAGCAACAAACAGAAGAAACTACTGAAGCAGCTGAAATTTGCAGAATGCCTAGAAAAAAAGGTATTCTTTTGGATGAGACTGTTGTGCATCTTTATAGCACACTTAAACTTGACTCGTGTTCTGAGGTTGTTTTGTAGATACATTGTAACTTGAATGCCAAGAAAATAATAATTGAACATTAATCACCTTTTAGCCACCACACACGGCACAGCCACATAAGAATTATCAGATTGTACTATGCCAAACAAAGAAACTAAGCTAAAAGGAACTTTGGTAGACAGAACTCTTAAC